AAAAAAAAAAAAAAAAAAAAAAAAAAAAAAAAAAAAAAAAAAGGAAAGGAGGCTATCGGAAAAAGGCCATTGCAGGCGCACGTTCGTAGTTGGTTCGATAGGACTATCGAATGCCCTTTTCTGACACAATTTTTTTTTTTTAATGGTCTTACTCATCTAGTGTTCCATTATCATCTGGATTCGAACTCGGGTCTGTATTTCAACAGTTGAATGGTGTACCCGCTGAGCTTGGCTCTTGGGTTCTATGGAAGAATTTCGAATCCTCATTTTCCTATAGGATGCGTGGCGATGCAAAACTATCGAAAAAACGTAATTCGATACTCGCCACACCACTCTTGAAATGTGCAAAATGAAAATGCATTTCCCACTAGAACATGGCCAGATGCCCCCCCCAAATTTTTGTCTTTTTCACATTTCGAGAGTGGTGTGGCGAGGCCCTAAACTGAGAAAACAGACAAGTAGCATCAAATGAAGTCCCTCAATAACATTAAACTCGTCGCCAGGTCAATCATTTGTTCCTCTGAGGCTCTGAGGGCATACTCTCACACTACGACGTTTTTACGTGTACTTGGACGGACTAGCGGCCAGATACATCGAGGTATGGCCGTGAATGCGGTCACATACATTTGAGATTAAAAAAGAAGAAAAAAAGAGATACTGCTAGTGTGAGTACGTCCTGAGGCTACCAAAAATTGAGCGAGGCGAACTAGCATCAGCCTCCGAAGGGGGATGAACGCGTGCGAATCCATGGGCCTCGCTCGTCCACTCTCCAAATGCGCAAATTGAGATTGAATATTGCATTAGAACATGGGAAAATGCACCGCCACATACCTTTTTTTTTTTTTTTTTTTTTTTTTATAAAAGGGCGACGGCCTTGAGATATCATCATTGAGCTGACCGGCCCCAGGCAATTCAGAAATAGTTGGTTTTACTTATCAAGCAAGTTCCTTCATCTGGGTTCGAACACGGGTCTGTATTTCATCAGTTCAATGGTGTACCCACTGAGATAGGCTCTTGGGTCCGCCACATATTTTTTGTGTTTTGTGCATGTGGAGAGTAATGGAGCGAGGCCCCATGTTTCTTTTTCTTCTTCTTCTTTTTTTCTTTTTTCTTTTTCCCCCCTCGAAAGTAGACCAATGTAAGGCCATGCCATGATGTTCCAATCGAAATGAAAGCCACAATTCTTTTAAAAAAAAGCGCGGGAGTCACAAAAACGAGTTATAATTGCACTATGGGCCAAGATACAGTTTGCAATTGCAGTTGGGGCAATGTATACAACCCAGCTTTCTGGCCAGGTAGGGTGCCCGAAGTGCAATTGCAAACTGTATCTTGGCCCATAGTGCAATTATAACTCGTTTTTGTGACTCTACCGAAGGTACCCCTTCCTAAGAAGAAACGGCCACGCCTTGACGTACTCACTGTAGTTGAGATTGGTGGGAGAGGGAAGGGATCGGGATATCACTCCTCTCTTGAGATTGGTGGGAGAGGGAAGGGGTCGGGATATCACTCCTCTCACCGAATGCTTACTGAAAACAAAGCTTGCGAAACAACAAGAGAAGAAAAGAGAAAGAAAAACAATTAAACCAAGAAAAACAAACAAAAAGCTCGGGCGACCTCTGCCTTCCTGAAGCTCCTGGCCATATTTTGGCCTTTGGCGGCTTTAGCGCACACATAATATAGCTATATAACTATATTTTGGACTTTAGCGCCTTTAGCGGCGCTAGCGATGAAGAAGTCCGAGAAGAAAGAGAGCCATATCCATCCCCATTACGGCTACATTATAGAACGACAGGTATAGCCCCGTATTTATCTACCCTTGCACGAACAAGATGTAGCTGGAGCTTTTATTATGAACACACCATTAATACACTCTCTCTCTCTCTCTCTCTCTCACACACACACACACACACACACACACACACACACACATACCTCTCTCTCTCTCTCTCTCTCTCTCTCTCTCTCTCTCTCTCTCTCCTGTCTCCGTTGAGAAACAGCAGTAAAGTTTCCCATATGC